CCTTCATCCCAGCATGCTACAGGCCCAATATCAGTACCCTGGGCCTTTTGGTTATTGAGAAGAAGTTGTTTGAAGATTTTAACATATTTGACCCCTGTGACCTTGAAAGTGGGTCAAGGTCATTTATTCGAACAAACTTGGTAGCCCATCAGCCCAGCATGCTACTGGCCAAATATCATCTTCCTAGGCCTCTTGGTTATTGAGAAGAAGTTGTTTAAAGCAAAAAGTTGACGCCGGCTGGACGCCGGACGACGGCCGGACGACGGACCCCGAACCATAACATAAGCTCAATTGCCCTTCGGGCAGGTGAGCTAACAATGAGTTAATTTTAAATTGCCTTTGTTAATACTGTGAACATAGCTCTAATTGTAACAAACACGTCATAATATGCAAAAGCTCCCGGACCAAGACATCCATGTCTAGCAGGACAGCCCATATCTATGACAACTATTACTAGCTTCCATCCCTCATATCATGTAAAACTTTACATTAGGATTCATGTAAAGCATTTATTCCATACTAATAGCAATGCTGTCTGTTAAAATAAAGGAATGCAATTATTAAAAGTTTCCATACACATTAGAGAGAGTTAAGAATAGAAAATATGAGATTTAATTTCTTCCAGAATTTACAAGTACAACTAAACTATAGGCCCAAGGAGGGGTATAAGTTTGGGTCAGACACATTTAGAAAGATATAAAATTGCATCGCTTTCAATACTAACCGAGTCTGCTTTCTTAACAGTCTTGATTTTCTTCTGCCACAGATCCTACAAAACACAATTCAAAAGACAACATGTGAACTGGTCACTTGGGATGTACGAAGGCGGCAAAATTAACAGGTTTGTACAGTAATCTAAAACTACATGTAATTTGTGTGGTAGCTGACTCCACTTCAATGTACTGCAGTATAAGTAGATGCCAGATTTTACCGATATGAAATTAAAGCCGGCCTCTGATGCTAACACATATGTAAGGAACAGTGGAACAATGAATTAATGTCCCTAAGTATATATTTAATTTGTTCACTTCCTTACCGCCAATATATCTTGACGCCCATATCCTGTTTTCCTGAAATTTTTTAGACAAAACTTTTTCTAATGCAAAAACTTTTGATGGTATTGTATTAACTCATTTACTTTAGTAATATATCTTGCTGAATATAATTTCTTATTATAAAAAATATGCAAGGATAAAAATGGTCTAAAAATTCTTAAATGATACCCTATTTCTTAATTGAAATATTTGTCTATTGCAAGTGGATGGTGTTACCTACCCTGACAACCTTCATCATATCACACTGGTCAGCCACTTTAGGGAAGGTGGTCAGCACTGGACTGTGGATCAACTCTGAAACATATTTTCACAATGGTAGTATTAGTATTGGTTTCAGCTTTATATTTTTATTCAATTTGATACAATAAAATATAGTTATATTATAGGTCCATGAAAAGGATCCAGAAACAAGATGCGAACATGCAATGAATCTGTTAACTGTTGTTTCCTCTTGGACATAACTTATAAGAACTATAAGAATTCTTTGGGCCAAAACTATATCCTTTTACGAAGTACCAGGGACAATATTTTAGAATGTATAAAAAGGTTTCCTTTCTTGTACAGAAAGGCTTGCCAATGGCAAACTGGAAAAGATTAGTAAACCCACGGAATTAGATTATCTAAGTCCGTGGTAAACCAAACAACTTCAGGGATTCATGGACAAACAATCCTGTATTTCATAGTTTAAGTACTTCAATCCACACTTGGTCAAGGATAAACCCTACTTTCGAAAAGCAAATAAGAACGTTTTATAATTTGAACTGTGTAAGTCCATCGATACAGACAGTAAAAGCCATTAATAATTTGAAAAACGTTTTAAAACTGTTAAAATTTGGGCATCATGTGCACCACTGCAATCTGAGTTATATAGTCCTAAGAGAGATTTACACAGGAACTGTTTTACAGCACTGTCTTATTGTAAGTATCCATTCTTACTTGTATTTACATTTTTGATACATTATTTCCATGTATGTTATCAATGGGCTACGTTCAGTTGTATTACCCGTTTCATATTACTAATTTAGGAATCAAGTACATTTTGTTATATAAAATATGTATAATTCAGATGAGGATTTGTATAAATCAGAAATCATATTATCACCAACTAAACCAAGTGTCATACAAATGTATCACTTCAGACATGTGACGTACAGGCATAATAAACATCTTGATAGTCTACATATGACAGGTGTGAACCAATAACCATCTTGATACAATTTTGTGAATATGTCCAGGTATTTTCTTATAATACATGTCATGTTAATATGTACAAGTATTTCTTATAATTACATTTTTACTTCCCCTCGGTCATTGTGTTATGAAAAGGCAAAGCCTTAATTAAAAGAGCGTAGCTTTTGTTGATTTCTGATATTTACTGATTCAGAATACTGCTTTCAGAATGAGGTAAGATAAAATGTACATGTATTTAAAGTTGGCTAGTCGAGGAATAACAGTAAAACATAAGCTCTAATGAGATTAAGATGGACATACCAATAGGGGAGATTGGAGCAAGTTCAGCCCATTTTTATTAAAGTCTGTTCTGGGAAGTATGGCAGCACGTCCATTTTTGAACATTATTTAATTTTCACTGTCGGAAGATCGGATGGCCAAACGAGCTCTGCCATTGGACAGGCATTCGGGTGAGTTTGGACCCATTGGAAACAGCTTTATTATGACGTCATAAAGTATGCAACGTCAGATTTTACTGCCAATTTTACGACTTTTTATGTGTAACATGGGCCGAACTTGCCACGGTTTCATTGGCTGAACCTGTCCAAATTGATATTTCGATAAATTCTTATCGTACAGCAATATGGTAGTTAGTGAGTGCTTTGCTTGGATTTTATGTATATCATTTCAAGCTGTCAGTGTGGTACACTGAAAAAATAGCAATTCTGTTTACAGAAAGTTCGCCTAACTAGAAGCGAGATCATAATTTTAATTAGATACTTCCGTCGGGGCACAAAAAGAATGATTGAGATAAGTTGGGGAAAAAAGTGTTCGGTAATTGCTATAAAAAAGTGAATATTACATATTTGACGATAAGTGTACTTATAAGTAAGTGTATAGAGATGTTAGTTAGAAAAATTAAATTAAAAAAAGAAAGCAGTTATATTTTGATGTAACTGAGATTGTCGTTATATCGATATAACGATGCTCTTTTTGAAGATATCTCCCGGTAGAAATATTAACAGAACCTGGTTGATGAAGGATCTTCAGAAAATATCTGCATTTTTAACGGACATCAGTTCCAAGATTTTCCAGTTAGTTTTCATCCTTCCGGAAATAACCAATGAAGGCCGATGGAGAGTGACGTGCTTGTGACGTCATAGTAGGATAATCTCTGAACGGAGTTTCATGCCTGCTGGTATCATAATTTATGTGATATATTTTTTTCACTCAGAATGTACATTAGTTTTTACCTAAATAAACAAGTAATAAAACATGAGGATTGTTTTCACTATATGAAAATGTTCATGTATGGGTTGAAACACAATTGTCTTCGCTTCAAGGATACACTTCCGGTTTCCCAACTGGATGACTACTTCCGGACGAAAAAAATTGAAGGCAGCGTGTAACAAGGGGAAACAACTCTGTATACGTATGCATGTGTTACCATTAAAGAGCTTCGCTCGGCTGCCTTTGGCGCACAAGAGCTACGCTCTTATTAACAATTGGGTTGATTTGGTAAGGTTGTGAGTGATTAGATAAATGCCATATTAGATAACAATGCATATTACGATCATACAACCACATAAAATCACATTTCAAGTTACCTGTACTTGGCATAAACTCTAAAAAAATAAAATCAAACTGTTTCATTCGCTCAATGAAATAAAAGCTTTGAAAGACAGTTTGATGTAACAAACTTAGACATCTTAAGTTAACCTGAAATCGAGTATGAACGATGTACATTCATTTGGAGGATAACAATCTTTCCAAAACTACATATGCACATGTACATAAAACTATACCAAAGATCTTAAAATACTTGTATTTTCCATCCAGACATCAACCATATAAGTATTCAAAACTGAGAAAACGAGTAAAAAGCTATATGATGGGAGGCAGCTTTGATACATGTATATGACTACTTTTATCTCAGGCCTTCCCTACAGGAGCTGAAGGTTAGAATTCGTTTTCCATTTTTTTTTTAAAACAGAATATATATAGAGCGACATTTATATCCAAGATGTAATATCACATAATTCTCAGTGCTTTAAATCAAGTGACATTATTCCTTTAAAATGACATGATATCAAAGCATATCAATATTGATCAGGTGTGATGTTATTCCAGTTAAAAGCATGATGTGGACATTCCCTTTTCTGGTGTGATGTCACATCATTCCTATATTTAATCAAATGTCATGTAGTGTCCTTAAATACATGTCATTTCTGTTACTGATGTGGCGTCATGTCATTTCTATTACTGATGTGATGTCATTTCTGTTACTGATGTGACGTCATGTCATTTCTGTAACTGATGTGACGTCTTGTCATTTATGTTACTGATGTGACGTCTTGTCATTTCTGTTACTGATGTTATATAATTTCTGTTACTGATGTGACGTCTTGTCATTTCTGTAACTGATGTGACGTCTTGTCATTTCTGCTACTGATGTGACGTCTTGTCATTTCTGTTACTGATGTTATGTAATTTCTGTTACTGATGTGACGTCATGTAATTTCTATTACTGATGTGACGTCATGTCTTTTCTGTTACTGAAGTGACGTCTTGTCATTTCTGTTACTGATGTGACGTCATGTCATTTCTATTAATGATGTGATGTCATGTCATTTCTATTACTGATGTGACGTCATGTCATTTCTGTTACTGATGTGATATTGTCATTGCTATTACTCATGTGACATCATGTCATTTCTATTACTGATGTGACGTCATGTCATTTCTGTTACTGATGTGATGTTATGTCATTTCTGTTACTGATGTGATGTCTTGTCATTTCTGTTACTGATGTGATGTCATGTCATTTTTATTACTGATGTGACGTCATGTCATTTCTGTTACTGATGTGATATTGTCATTGCTATTACTGATGTGACGTCATGTCATTTCTATTACTGATGTGACGTCATGTCATTTCTGTTACTGATGTGATGTTTTGTTATTTCTGTTACTGATGTGATGTCATGTCATTTCTATTACTGATGAGACGTCTTGTCATTTCTGTTACTGATGTGATATTGTCATTGCTATTACTGATGTGACGTCATGTCATTTCAATTACTGATGTGACGTCATGTCATTTCTGTTACTAATGTGATGTCTTGTCATTGCTATTACTGATGTGCCGTCATGTCATTTCTATTACTGATATGACGTCATGTCATTTCTGTTACTGATGTGATGTTATGTCGTTTCTGTTACTGATGTGATGTCTTGTCATTTCTGTTACTGATGTGATGTCATGTCATTTTTATTACTGATGTGACGTCATGTCATTTCTGTTACTAATGTGATGTCTTGTCATTGCTATTACTGATGTGACGTCATGTCATTTCTATTACTGATATGACGTCATGTCATTTCTGTTACTGATGTGATGTTATGTCATTTCTGTTACTGATGTGATGTCATGTCATTTCTATTACTGATGTGACGTCATGTCATTTCTGTTACTGATGTGATGTTATGTCATTTCTGTTACTGATGTGATGTCTTGTCATTTCTGTTACTGATGTGATGTCATGTCATTTTTATTACTGATGTGACGTCATGTCATTTCTGTTACTGATGTGATGTCTTGTCATTGCTATTACTGATGTGACGTCATGTCATTTCTATTACTGATATGACGTCATGTCATTTCTGTTACTGATGTGATGTTATGTCATTTCTGTTACTGATGTGATGTCATGTCATTTCTATTACTGATGTGACGTCATGTCATTTCTGTTACTGATGTGATGTTATGTCATTTCTGTTACTGATGTGATGTCTTGTCATTTCTGTTACTGATGTGATGTCATGTCATTTTTATTACTGATGTGACGTCATGTCATTTCTGTTACTGATGTGATGTCTTGTCATTGCTATTACTGATGTGACGTCATGTCATTTCTATTACTGATATGACGTCATGTCATTTCTGTTACTGATGTGATGTTATGTCATTTCTGTTACTGATGTGATGTCTTGTCATTTCTGTTACTGATGTGATGTCATGTCATTTTTATTACTGATGTGACGTCATGTCATTTCTGTTACTGATGTGATGTCTTGTCATTTCTGTTACTGATGTGATGTCATGTCATTTTTATTACTGATGTGACGTCATGTCATTTCTGTTACTGATGTGATGTCTTGTCATTTCTGTTACTGATGTGATGTCATGTCATTTTTATTACTGATGTGACGTCTTGTCATTTCTGTTACTGATGTGATGTCATGTCATTTCTATTACTGATGTGACGTCATGTCATTTCGGTTACTGATGTGATGTTATGTCATTTCTGTTACTGATGTGATGTTATGTCATTTCTGTTACTGATGTGATGTCATGTCATTCCTATTACTGATGTGACGTCATGTCATTTCGGTTACTGATGTGATGTTATGTCATTTCTGTTACTGATGCGATGTTATGTCATTTCTGTTACTGATGTGACGTCATGTCATTTCTATTACTGATGTGACGTCATGTCATTTCTGTTACTGATGTGACGTCATGTCATTTCTGTTACTGATGTGACGTTTTGTCATTTCTGTTAGCTACTAACGTTTGAACAACTATTTACTAGAAATACGAAGTAAACAAGAATTCCACGGAAGTGGATGTGTGGCCTGTGCAGGAAGCTGGGAGATTGTGCTTAGCACTGCATGAAGTTTGAGTTTAATCAGCCCAAGGAAACTCAAGTTATCGCACGAAAACAGATTTTCTATTTATAGTAACAGTGACCTTGACCTTTGACCTTCGGACCTGAAAAGAAATCCCAAGCAAGCAATTTTGGTACGGAAGCACTGCATGAAGTTTGAGTTTGATCGGCCCAAGGAAACTCAAGTTATCACATGAAAACAGATTTTCTATTTATAGTAACAGTAACCTTGACCTTTGGACCTGAAAAGCAATCCCAAGCAAACACTTTAGGTAAGGAAGCACTGCATGAAGTTTGAGTTTGATCGGCCCAAGGAAGCTCAAGTTATCGCACGAAAACATATTTTCTATTTATAGTAACTGTGACCTTGACCTTTGACCTTTGGACCTGAAAAGCAATCCCAAGCAAACACTTTAGGTAAGGAAGCACTGCATGAAGTTTGAGTTTGATCGGCAAAAGGAAACTCTAGTTATCACACGAAAACCTATGTGCGGCCGACGCCGCCACCGACATAGCAATACCTATGTGTCACCAGCTTTTCGCAGATGACACAAAAAGCACCTATTTAAAAATTGAGTCTCTTTATGTAGAACTCCAAACAAAGTAAAGCTTTTTTTTTCTAACAAAACCAGTTCTTTGCTGTTTAGCCTGATTGATAGAGAATATATATACCTGTAGAATCCAGATCAATGCGGTCACGGATCAATTTGTCAGCTAGGATCTGTCTGTAGTAGGAGTAGAACGGCAGCAGACACATACTTCCGACGAACACATCAGGTAATGTTCTGTAAAATCACGTAGCTGTGGTTCTAGTAACTTTCTCTTATACAAATACACATCAATTTAATGATGATCTAGTACTCTGTACACTGAAGGAGTTATTTTATTACAATTAACTTTACACAGAAAGCTATTAAAAATGTATTTTCCCTTTTCATATAATTTTCATTTTTTTCTATTTATGTTGCTGTGTAGAATTCATCTAAAAAATAATGGTTACAGTAAAAAAACAAATATATCAGGAATGTAATATTTTGTAGGATTGAAAAGACTATTGAGACGCTGGTTCTACTCTAAAATAAAGTCATCATATATTAGGCATGCTAATCCAACATGTTATATTTACAATATCACAATGCCTGGACGCCAGAAGATGAGCAATGGGAAAGTAATTATCAGTAAATAGATTATTTGTGTAGATTTTATTTCATCTTTTTTCTGTACCTTACTCTATGCACAGGTACCAGCCTGGTCTGTCAATACACCTGTAGTATAGTATAGGTGTATTGACAGACAATGCTGGTACCTGTCTTTGACAGTTGCGACCAAGAAAAGATTATTAAAAGATAGAATTAATGAATGTTTCATGTTCTACAGATAAAGTACATGGTATAACAGCATTGTCAAAGTGTCCAAGATAACTTCGGATACATAGAATTATAGACATAATATCAAAGTTCTTAATTCTGTATTAATATTGTTGTCTTACTGTAGCTGATCCTTGACGTCTTTCTTGCCAGGGATGGATACCTTTACGTGAAGCCTCGGCTGCTTGTTTCCCGAAAGTAGAGTCATGAAGGCATTGGAACTTGCTGTAATTAGCAAAACGGTCAAAAACTTTGTGTAAAATCAATGCAGTTTACTTTTATAATGTCTTCAGTATACAGGGAAAATTAGATATTTATTCTGACTGTGTAATATTACAGCGATTTTCACTAAAAAGGTTAAGTACATGTAGTAAAAAAAAGTTAGGAAAAAATAATTTCTGACAAGGGAACTTAATATGATTCCCATGTGCATATTAATATATCACTTACTTCTTCTGGATATTTCTGGGTCGACAAACACTCCCTTCTCGTATGGCGTACCACCATGGACCTCCATCTGATCAAATACTCTGGAATAAAAACATCAACAGATGAAAATCATTAGGATTCTAGCAAAGGAAGACACTTAACAATCCATGACTGACATTAATTGCTGGAGAATTGTCTGAATATTCAAATCTGTATAATCAATGTACCTGCCGATTAATAATAACTCTAATTTCATGTCAAAGATCTCTTGTATCCACGGTCTTGTAGACAAGTATGCATGAATAAAGGCCAAAATAGAGAAATATATTGGATATATATCTAGAAAATAGGGTTAATATCATCTATTATGGAAAATGTTTGCATGAATAAACAAACAAATGAATGCATGCTTTGAAGAAGTGATGAATGAATAAGATAAATGTAAAATGTGACTTCCAACCTGTTACCATGTGAGAACGAACATTTTAAGGGGTATTGAACCCTTAAAAAAACAAAATTATTAACAAATTTTCTTGGTTTATTTCCATTATTTTTATTCTACACAGTATTGTGTTGTTCACTGGTAACCATAATTGAACATTTTGATGTCCTTGATGTTGCTCAGTGCTCCCTACCTGTTGCCTTTGACATTTCCGTTGTCCTCTAACAATTTGAGATGATGCCAGCCACAGCTAAACTCTCCATATTCCTCTGTACTCTGTAGGAGACAATGGAGGAGATATGAAAGCTGATTTTTTAAAAACTTATAAGGTCATGAAAAATTAACTCAACCAATAAAAAGAAATAAACAAAATCAATAACTAAGTTTAACCAAAAGCACAAAGGTTTTGTTTCAGGAGGAATGGAGTTAATTTGTGTTAAACTAACCATGAGATATACATGCATGATCAACCTGGTCTTCAGAGGTAGGTTTGTGTATGCTGACCTACCAAATATCACTTTTAAGCACATGCTTCGTTTTGAAAAATTGTAGTATATACCTTGTATATAACTAAACACTTGTAAATTTATCAATATGTAGCCTTTGTGTGGAGCTATTTATGCATATGACATTCTGTGTTCATTAATCCTTTCATCTCTGTAGACCATAATGGACTTATCCAGATCAATGCATGGTCGAGTCTACTAAAGTTACTTTGGGATGAAAGGGTTACAGATTAAAACAGATCTTATTTTTCTTTTGAATGCTGTAGCTAATGATAAACTGAACATTGGACTATGAGAAAGAGAAGCTGGAATTTTGATGCAGTCAATATTTTTAAAGTACAAATGTGTATATTCTTCAAGCTGTATAAACTATTGATACATTCTTGTCCAAATATTAATACATGACCTTATCATCATAAAACAACAAACCAGGGGTCAATGTTTATCACCATGTTGCAATGTATGCCACTTTTGATTGGTCAATACTCCTCCCTATGTGATCAAACATGTTAGATAATGAATGATTAGTTTAAGGCAAATGGTATCAGCAGGTTCACTGTATTATTACTACTGTCACTATTATTGTGAAATGTTCATTTAAAACCTTTACAAAAGAAACATTTCACAATGTTGTAGGTACATGAATTCAAAATGTGAAAGGTTGAAAATTGAATAATAGAAAGAAAAAAATCACAAAAACTGCAGGGGTCAAACTCTACTTCATAAAAACAAGAGGCCCAAGGGCCTTAGCGGTCACCTGAGTTATATCATAGGTACTGGTAGCTTTATTTTATTGTTTAGATGTGATGTGGAAATCAGCATGTAAACTAAGTGAAATACAATACTTGTCATGTCATCAAAGAATAAGAATTTTAAAATATTTGTAAATGTTCCCTTTGGGGCCCAGCTCTAACCCCTGGGGATGGGGCAGGAATTCCAAGTTTACAATGTGATACCGTCATCCACCAAAGATGATTCTGACCAAGTAAAAATAATTTCCAACAGAAAATTGTCAAAATATACCCAAAAGTGTTGTTTCCCTATATAAACTATAGTAAACTTTACCCCCTCCCCAAGGGAGAACGGATAGCTCGGGGGTCCTGAAATTTACAATTTAAATAAAGCCCCTGATGATCTTTCCATCCATGCAGAGAAAATGACTGTAATACCTCTGAGTCTGGAGAAGAAGATTTTTGAAATATTGGTTAATTTTCCCTTTTGGGCCCCGCCCTGGCCCCTAGGGTTGGGGTAGGAATCCCAATTTTACAATTTAAAACCATCTTCCTCCTCCAAGGATGATTCTGACCAAGTAAAAATAATTTCCAACAGAAAATTGTCAAAATATACCCAAAAGTGTTGTTTCCCTATATAAACTATAGTAAACTTTACCCCCTCCCCAAGGGAGAACGGATAGCTCGGGGGTCCTGAAATTTACAATTTAAATAAAGCCCCTGATGATCTTTCCATCCATGCAGAGAAAATGACTGTAATACCTCTGAGTCTGGAGAAGAAGATTTTTGAAATATTGGTTAATTTTCCCTTTTGGGCCCCGCCCTGGCCCCTAGGGTTGGGGTAGGAATCCCAATTTTACAATTTAAAACCATCTTCCTCCTCCAAGGATGATTCTGACCAAGTAAAAATAATTTCCAACAGAAAATTGTCAAAATATACCCAAAAGTGTTGTTTCCCTATATAAACTATAGTAAACTTTACCCCCTCCCCAAGGGAGAACGGATAGCTCGGGGGTCCTGAAATTTACAATTTAAATAAAGCCCCTGATGATCTTTCCATCCATGCAGAGAAAATGACTGTAATACCTCTGAGTCTGGAGAAGAAGATTTTTGAAATATTGGTTAATTTTCCCTTTTGGGCCCCGCCCTGGCCCCTAGGGTTGGGGTAGGAATCCCAATTTTACAATTTGGTAGCCTCATCTACCAAGGATGATTCTGACCAAGTTTGAAAAAATTCCATCCACTGGTTCTTGAGAAGAAGTTGATAATGTAAAAAGTTTACGCACCACGACGGACGGAAAGTGATTGGAATAGGTCACTTGAGCAAAGCTCAGGTGACCTAAAAAGACTTGACAGGTAAAGTGATTCTAAATCAGAAAACTCCTTTTGGTTGCTTCGTCATCTATTCCGTCTTTGCGTATTGCAGAGTTATCTTCTCTTGGGAGCAGGTATTGATTGTTACGTCA